TTAGTTGAAAAAATCTCCCATACAAATTAAACCGCACTTACCTACGAACATACACAAATATCCGTATGTATGAATGTATACTTTTTTATTGACAAGCCCAATAGGCAAAGCTAAGAGCTCTTCTAAATAAACTCTTCTCTTTGTTAGTTGTACATATTAAAAGATCTTTGAATAGCCCTGCCGGCAAAAGAGAAAACAATCTCAGGAGAAGCGTCAGAAATCAGAAAGGCTTAAAAGAAAACATAATCAAACACGGAAGGCCTATTGCTTCAAAAGATCAATAAGAAGATCTCCTAAAAACACTAGTGCCTAAATTTAATGGTTTTTTTTTTAATCAAACTGCAAACAATTTTGAATTTGGTGCTTCGTGCGCTTTTTGGTGTGTTTTTTTTTTAAGTTTGACGACACCAAATCTGTAAATATTAAAAATAATGGAAGCAAAATTTATAGCAATCGTAAGTTTTGTAACCAACTTTACAAAAATGGAAACAAAATCCTAAAGAAACTTAAAAGAATACTCGAAATCGGCAGCTTTTTGACACAAAAAGATTAAAAAGTGAAATCAAAGTTCTTTATGTTTCAGGTGTCAAGCGGTCGGAAAGGAAAGCTCTTTAGCTCACGAGATCATAAAAGACTGCAGTGTATATTTAAACTACCACATAGTTCATGAAACTTCATTTTTTGTTTTTGCTTTCGTTTGATAGGAATTGTAGAAAAAATTAAGAAATTTTAAGAGAAAAACATTTAACATTTAAACTGTCAGCAAAAAATGTATAACTTTTTCTCAAATCTAAGCGAAACGGCAACGCTGGACACAGCTGTAAATTTGAAAATAAGAACAAGAATGTTAACGTCGCTTGGTCGAAAATATTTGAATTTATAGAAAACAGAATAAATTCGACCATCGAGCAAGAAACATTTATTTTTATTAATTGGAATCGGCATCCCTAAAAAAAAAAAATTATCATAAAAACTCCATTAAATACTACAATAAAATCTTGGTGCCTTTCTCGAGAAAAAACGCGATTTTTATTGGGTTTTAGTGCTTTTTCAAATTCAAAACTTGGCAAGACTTCCTAAAAAGCCTCTTTATTTCTTATTGTACCGCCTGGGAACATACATATGTATGTATGAGTGCATATTTATGTGTGCATTAGTATAGAAATGTTGGCGCACGGTGTCGGCCATTGCCATCACTGTATTTGTGAGATAAACAAAGTTAAGGATATAATATGGTTTGTAATTTATTTTTATTTCGATTTTACTGTGATGTTTGTTGATTATTTAACAACAAAATAGAAACCAAATTTGTGTATTTCATTACTTTTTTCACGATGAAAAAATTATTAATGTCATCTTATTTAAGAGCGTTTACAAGGTCAGTAAAAAAATTACGACAGCGTAAAATTCGACTACCACTTTTATTTAATTACGTTTGGGTATAGTTTGTAGGTCCTCCATAAATTGGCTGTTTCACAAAATGGGATAAGGCATTGACCACCCTTGCTTTCAAGGTACTATTCCACAATCCCCTACATAAGTCTCGCAAATCGAGTTTTTAGTTCCTTGGGAATAACGCCAGAAGTCCTCGTTTCCTTCGATTCCGCTGTGACCTGGTACCCGACATAGTGTCACCATCTTTCTGGCTGCCAAAAGTTGAAGCATGTCAAAACACTCGCTGGACTTCCGAAAGCTACTTTGTTAACGATTAGTTTGAGGTGTTCAATTCTATTTAGATTTTTCATGTAACGGTTGTTTATAACAGCCTAATGGCAGAGAGATAGGAACAAATATAGTACTTATCTATATTAGGGTTGTCCAAAGAGACACGAAAAAATCAACTTTTTTGAATTTTTTATATAAGAGATGAAGTTATGAAAAAGTAGTTAGTAAAATTTATGTTTTGAAGATCTCTAAATAATCTTATTGCTTCACAAAATATTTGCTCTTAACGATTTCATAGCACGGCGGCATGATTAAATATCAGCCGATTTTAAATTAATAAAAAATACGGGTCTTATTTTTTTTTCGATATTCTGCAGTGCCGGGCTGTAAAAAACTTTGTACCACCCAATGTATATACATATAGACATAATCGAAATGCTCAGAATGCAAAGCGAAATCGAATGAGCCATGTCAATCTGTCCGTCCATGCACACGATTACTCGACTTCTCAGCTAAATTTGAGTCGTATTTCCCAAATAGCAGTAGTTTTTCAAAACTTAAAAACGGCTATAATTCAATAGCTGTTGGAGCTTAATTGCTTAAATTATTTTAGCGGAAGGCTTCAAATATAATAGAAAAACCTACACTGTTTTTTGGTGATGTACCCTAATGTACATAAGGAGTGCGTCATTAGAAATTAGTACACTAAAAAACTGAGATACATTTTACAAAATCCTACCTGGAGTAGCTTGTCCTGTTGGCGGAAAGATTTTTCTGACCATGCAGTAATAAACAATTAGGGCACTGGGTATTTTCTCCGAAGCTAAAATTGCTGTACCAGAAAAAATTATGTCTTTTAGTTTCCAGACTGGCTCTAGCACTCGAGACCTTGGCTTGGGCAACTGATTCTAGCGCTGGCTATTCCTGGCAATTATTTCCTTGTCACCACCATCAGGACAAGCCCTGGCAAACGACTGCGATACAATGATAAACTATCAGGGCGCTAGGTCACATACCTAACCTAAATTATCTTTAAAATTACAGAAAAGGCCCAGTCTTACATTTTATATAAGGAATTGTAAGGGAATTCTTATTAGTAATTCGACAGTTCATTAGAAGGAAGCTGTCTAGAATCACTGGTCAGCGACTGATTAGAGAGAGCGTGACCTTTGTGTCTAGCGCATCGATAGTTCTCCTTGTCGGACGCTAGACGGAAGAAAGCAAATCTTACCAGCGCTTGTCCAAAATCGAGATTTGTTTTCGGCCGGGTGTATTTCAGTAACCACCGATCCAATTTTAAACATTTTCTTGAACTTTGTTGGCCTTCAGCACCGACTCTCCTTTCACTCTTCGTACAAATGACTCGAAACAATCCGCTAGCTGAGCAATTTCTCTTCCTGAAAGGTTAGTATTTCTTGTCAGCATGGCCTCAACCTTTTTTCTACCTGTTCCGTGCTTTCGATTTACGTTAATATCTGCCTTAAATGTTTGCATTATCCTGGATAGGGTATAGCCCAAACACAATGAAAACGACGAGCTACGGACCACAGCTGTCAAATTATTTTAACACGTACTCTTATGTAGATAATTATTTTGGCGACGACCGGACTACGCGACGACTGTGGTTGTGACCAGATTAGATGTTTTTCTATTTTTCCAGTGACAGATGAGGTTCTTCCTATTCTTTTATGTCAAACTCATACAAATTCATGATATCGCTGCCGCGTTCAAAAAAATCATGTCGTCATAGACAAAGCGTTTAGATAATGAAGATAACAACTTGGAAGCTGTGGCCCGTAGCTCGTCGTTTTTAATGTATTCAGAACTGTACTTCTGTTAACTTAAGGCACACTTGCAGGATGTCGAGTTATTTCTTTAACCCTGAGTTACCCACTCAGGGCAGGTTAAATTGGGTTACGGGTTAACTCAGAGTTAAAACGTAAAATGTTTAACCCAGCAGTTTTGCAGTGTTAATTTGCTAACTCTGTGTCATTCTGTCAAAAAATGTAAATAAAGCCGTTAAAAGTAAAAATAAGTTCAATTTTTCAATATATATTTGCATCGAGAAATATTCTCAATAAATAATAAAATGCTAAACGAGTTGTGGTGGAATTGTATTCGTTCAACATCAACGCTTTTTGTTTTTCTTTGAAGCTAGCTCCGTCGGTCCTTTTGTTTTCAATAATGTGCTTGCACTTTTATAAAATGTCGCACAAAAGCAAACTTTCACGCTTTGTGAAATTGGGAGCACGGAGATGCGGTTTCGCTTCGCTTTGCATGATTGGCTATGATTTTAAGATATATAAATAGTTCTTTAACGAAAATATCCAAGAAATTTCAATTTGCGCTGTGTAAAATTAATAAACAACAGGTTTTTGCTTACCTGAATTTACCTAATGTAATGAATGAGAAATCCTGATCCTGGTCTCCTATGTCTCGGAATGCTTGCAGTATTTAATAGATGTGTATGAAGATTTAATTTTAAACTAATAAATAGTAATTTATTGCATTATATTTTGATACTTACGAAATTTTTCTAAATTCAAGCAGCTATCACTGAAATTACTGAAGTACAGCAGACGAATATGAATAATCAAAACAAATGACGCAAAAAAGGGTCAATGATGTCAACCAAAATCAAAAATACCCGCCGGCAGGCAGAGTTAACTAGCTCGGCTTCAAATATCTCTTGAGTTAAAAAAAAATAACATTTTAACTCTGGGTTACTTAACTCTGAATTTGTAAATTTAACCTTGGATATTCTGCAAGTGGGCCTAAGTATTCCTTGCAAACCTTTTGAACGTATACTGCGGGTTATTTAAAGAAATAATTTGTTCACGCACTTCTTTTTCACTGCCAATTTCTCCACAAAACAATCGATGAGTAGATAATGAAAAGTAGAAAATAGTATTTGGCGTATTTTCCAAAAATAATCTGATAAAATTAACTATTTAAAATAGTCTGCGACTTAAATATTGAAACTATATATTCGAGGTATTCGCTTAAATTAGGAAAAAAAGTCTGGAAAGCTTCGGGGACTTTGTAAACGGCTAAAACTTGTGTGAAAAATATTTTCGAGTTTTTTAGCTTTATGCATGTTTTGGAATACCATTAATAATTACTACTTTTCACGTATTTTGTAAAGGAAAGGAAAGGGAAAACGTTATCGGTTAATTATATTTACAAACAACAATCTTCAAAATCTGCTGGTCATTTAGCCACGTCTCAAAGCAAAGCAACTTTTTCTACAATTTCAAGGTGTCACATAATGTAGTATTTGTGTATGTATGTAAGTAGATACATTTAAGTATACATAGGGTAGTTTTTCAACATACTATTTACATACTTTCATGCAGAGCCGTGTTGCCTTCGGTGTTTTTGCTGTTGCAGCAGACGTTGCTCACACGCCAAAATAAACACCATAAAAATGTTTTTGTATTTATTTTCACACAAAAACACAATAATTAATTGCATATTTTCAAAGTACCAAGCTGTTTACTGTTATTCGCACCACACGAAAAACACACGCACATCAATAATAAAAATCAATTTTTTTAAACAACTGACAAATTTTTGCTACGGCTAACGTTTTCCTACGTTGCGCTGCACTGCTTTTCACATTTTCAGCCACCAGCCAACTGGCCTTTTCACCCCGAAAAACAATTGTTGGCTTTTCCTTCTAGCTGCCCACACTACACCGCTCCGCACGCACCGTAACACACTTGCAACAAATTCGAAATTCGTTAAGGGCGTCCCTTTCTGTACGATTTCAATGTACTATTTTATAACACTTAAAATTTGGCAAATTGCAATTGTAAAAAAAAAAGCGTCAAATTCGCTGAAGCGCATCTAACTGCGCTTCCGCTTTCCGCTTCGACCAACGCCAATTAATTACTTTCTTGCTGTCAATACGAGTATTTAATTTACATATGTATGTACACACCTTAGCTTTCTTTTGCTTTGTACCACCACAATTATTTATTTTTTCATTAATTACTTAATTTCTTGTCACTTTCAGCTTTTGGCGAACTGACCAACTCCGAATGTCTTGGCGCACGACTTGAAACTGCATTCAAAATATGCTTTGTTGGCGTGAAAGACAGAATTTCGAAATATAAATAACCGAACCAAAGTGGCATTATTATATGTGTATGTTCGAAAGAGCACAGTAGCTAGGAGAAAATTTTGCAGCACATGCGCAATTTATTTGTTGTCATTTTCAAAATTTTACGCGAATGCGTATTAATTGTGCCCCCAAAGCGTCACTCCCCCACACACAGGTGTATTCATTTGCGAAAGACCAACCCTGCGCATGCATAATGCGCGAGCGAGCGGATGTGGAGAATTATTTTGGTTGTATTGATGCCACTCAGCGGTGGCTGTAAAAATTTTTGTTAGATATTTGCAAGATGAGTGACGAGTAGAAATGTTGGCGTTAACTACGAGAAATTTTTCTTGCAGACATTTTTGCATTGGGGAATGGAGAGAATTGTGAGTGTAGCCTTTTGAAATTCTTGCAATTTGACAGTTGTTTATTGGAAGTGTTCCATTTATCTGTTAAATTTGAACAACGCGAATCTTAAATATTTGAATACAAAATTCAAATTTAATGTAAAGTGAAATTTCTTTGATCATGTCAAATCGAACACTGATTGCAATCGACCATTTTTGATTTGTATGAATTTTGGTCAGAACTTTTTTTTATTACATAACAAAGTTCTGCCAACGGAAAAAATTAAAATTTTGTTGTCGAAAGTTAGCAAAATTCCAAATTTCACAATTTACGGGATTTTGAATGTTTAATTTTTAATTATCTCATAAACTAATACAATTACAAAAATAGTTCTGATCTCGTTTGAAAGGTGATATTTACAGGTCTATCCTGCACGTTACCGAAGATTTTGTAACTGGAAAATTTTATTATCAAAAAATGTTACCGCGATTCAGCAGTTCAGCTATGAAAAATTTTTGAAATTTTGGCATTGCATATTTCACGGGGCAATACTTTGTTACCAGCTTATGAGATTTATTTAGAGTTATAAAGAAAAATATATGTCAAAAACAACATTTTGAAATTAATAAAATCATTAAAGCAGAAACTTATAAAAATTTTTTACTCATTTTCTTTTGTACAATACCGTTTTTCAAAGATATCAATTTGTGAACTTTGATTTTTTTTTATTTTTAACTCATGTTTAACAATTCTTATTTATTTGAAAGTTATTTCTAATTTTGAGTTTGCAAAAAACAAAAATGTGTCACAGTTCAAAAGTTGACATCTGAAGCAAAAACTTCTTGTAAATTTCAAGATCTCTTAAGATCAGTTGGAGGTGTTTTATAAAAAAAATAAACTAGGACTTACCGTTGATTTTTGGCAATTGTTGATGGTGTGACGTATTTTGTTCCACAAAAATGTTCGAACATTTTTTATGCATGCATACCTACTTAAGTAGAAATTTTTTTTTATAATTTTGAATACAACATTTGTTGAAATTATTCGAGTCTTTATAGATCTTGTACAAAGTTTGAAATTTTTACTTACCCACATGGTTTTTGTTAGATAGTGAGCTATATTTACTTTTATAAACAAAAATCATAAACATTAAATAAACAAAAGAATAATAGCCAAAACTTGTTAAAACGTCGCGTCCCTATTAGTTTGCCCGCCACTGAAAGTACCCGTATTGCAAAAATGTACATCAAGCACGTACATATATCCTAGCCGTTTATCTCAAACGCTTCAATATATATGTAGAAGTTAAACAATGTTGGGGATAGGACACCAACCTATGTAACCCCTTGCTTAAACCTTCTTGGTTTGGATGTTTGATCTCAACAGAGGAGGAGAGAGGAAGGCCTCCTCTGCGTTAGAAAAAGCAGGTGGAGAAGAACTTGTCTTCACTTTGTATCTCCAATTGGCGTCTGTTAGAACAGAAGCGGTTACAGCGCCAATAAAGAAGAATTTCGAAAGACATTTTTTTGGCCCTTCTACGGGGTCGCCTTTTCAAATTTATCATCATATCTTTGGCATTTACAGTCGATTCGAATCCAAATTAAATATTTTTCCCGAACGTAGGGGTCTCTTTTGGTAATTTACCTTGGGCATTTATAGTCGGATCTTAAAGTATGATATGTATATGGACTTTTTTCTAGACGATACAATTTTTTTGTCCAAAGTTCATTGATCATAAGTATACCGTGCTAGTACTTACCCACCAGATCTCAGTTCTTATCACCGCGCCACCCTAATGTCAGTAAATCAAAGTTATAAAAAATCATTAAACTTATGCTGAGGAAGTTTTTTTGGCTATTCCAGTGGAACTATTAAAAAAAGTTTCTTGCCGAATCTAGGTGTCGCCACATAATGTAGGTACAAGGCGAACCGTATGTCGAAATTACCTTACAAAAATACTTCAGACTCGCGAGTGTACTCCGGCTTCTTTTTGTTGGCTCGTAAGGTGGTACAGTCTAATGTACATTTGTATGGCATTTATAAAATTTCCTTGGAAGCAGTATCATTTCGATCTTGGAGGTGTTAATACAATCCGAACTTTACACAAACCATTTACTTGTAAAAGTAAAATAAAATTAAATTCGAAAAAAATTATATTAACAACAAAATTTTAATTCAACAGCTTTTCATGGTCTAGTTTTCCATAACAATAATTCTCGATAACTCAACCACTTCCACCATATCATTTAGCTACATATGTACATACATATATACATACCCCGAATGGAACTGCTTTGTCTAGCTCTTGTTTACATACATTTTCAGCAGCGTAAATGACAAACTTTGATGTGGATATGTATTGAAGTGCATATCTATTTATATATACTAGTGTTCGCCCAGCGGTTGAAATTCAACCGATAAAATTAAGGATAGTTTATGTAAGTTGAATGAGCTAAAATAACATTAGTTGGAATGGGTTAAGTGGAGGGGAGTTTAGCTTAGTACTTGGTATAACATAACATAAGAATAAATAACATAACATATGAAGCATAACACACCACAATATAACATCGCACACTCTTCAGTTGTATTTCCTTTTTATCCCTTTTTTCATCTCTATCTAAATCTTATTTATTTTGGTTCATTTTATGCCAAATGATGTTGCCTTTGATGCCACATCAAGTGATATCATGTCATGTGGTGAAATTGGGTGTGGTGAGCTGCGGAGTGGTGGAATTGGGTGTAGGAGTTACGGTGTGGTGAATTTAGGTGTGGTGGATTCAGGTGTGGTGAGTTAAGTTATGGTGAGAAAGTTGAGGTGTGGTGAATTAAGGTGTGGTGAATTTTGGTGTGGTGAGTTGAGGTGAGTTAAGGTGTGGTGAGAAAGTTGAGGTGTGGTGAGAAAGTTGAGGTGTGGTGAATTAAGGGTGGTGGATTTAGGTGTGGTGGATTTAGGTGCGGGGGTTAAGGTGTGGCGAGTTGAGGTGTGGTGAATTTAGGTGTGGGGAGTTAAAGTGTGGTGAATTAATGTGTGGTGAGCTCAGGTGGAGTAAGTTTTT